ATCTTTTCAAATCTTTTTTCAAATTTCCAAAATTTTGAAAATTTTCCGAGATATTAAGAAAAAACTAAAGCCCCTTTTTTTTCACTTAATTGTTTATAACTTTTGTAATTTTTATTGGCGCGTTTTCGGACTTTTCCTTAAACTTTATAGGCAAAAATACGAATCGAATGACACCTTGGTCGTAATTTTTGGACAGGACTGAAAAATGTCATCAAAAAGAGCTAAATCGAGTACATGTGAACCAGACTACTCACCTTGATACCCGCGACAACCTTCTCGAGGCAATCTGACCTAATAAATAAAAAATAAATAATTTTTAGCCTACAGAAACGCATGTCAGAAACAAATAGAACATCCTGTGAATATCTTTTTGAGCTTTTGATTATATCCATGAAATGTTCTCAAATGGACGTCCTGAAGACATCCTGTAAACGTCCATTTGAAGACCTGTAATGACCTATTATGGACGTCCTAAAGACATCCTGATTATTAACAATGGACGTTACAAAGACGTCTATAAGATGTCCACGTCCGTAAAATGGACGTTTTGAGGATGTCCTGAATGTCCAAGCGGGACGTTTTAAAAACGTCCATAAGACGTATTTGCGCTATTTGGGATGGTAAGCTGAAAAGAGGCAAAAAGTTTTAATTTGGAAAAATGGAACAGTATCAATGTATAGAGTAAAAAATTCTCTGAAAATCAGTATACAGGGCTTTTCATGATGGGAGTTAATTAGCCGTTTCTAGCAAACTATTCAACGGATCAACCTGAAAATTCCACAGTATGCATAAGTCAATATGACCTACACCCCTAAAATATTTTAGTTGAAGCGGCGTTGTCGCTTCTATTATAAGGTAGCGGCTTCTTTGATTTTTCAAATAGAACACCCCGTATATAATATCATATTATGATTCATTATCACTTTTTCAACAAATTCATACTATTTCCCTATACCTACCTATCACCGTTTAGAAGATATAAATTAATTTCGATATTTTTTTTACCAAACATGAACTTTCATAAATGCTGATAATCTTGAACTCTCTTGCACTAAAACGATCAAATTTGAAATGGAGTGGA